AAATATATAATTATAATATAAAATAAACAAGTGATAAATAAATAATAATAATCAAAGTATATTTTATATATATGTATATAGTATATTTAGATTTCTTTTTTATTGTGTCATTATACAAAGGGTTATCAACGAAAACATTGAACTTTATCAAAATAATAAGTAAAAGTTGCACAATAATATGAAATAAAACTTCCTACAAAGTTAAAAAATAAACAAGTATTTATTAATGTAATTACTTCAATATATTTCTTATATTATATGAAATAAATTTCAACTTATTAATCTATTTTTAATGTACGAAATAAATATTAAGAAATTATTACTTATATAGCATATGCCTGGATTAATTTATAAAAATGTCTGGGAAACAGACCCAGAGCTTTTTGAATTAATGAAAAAAGAAAAAAAAAGGCAAGAATCTGGTCTTGAAATGATTGCTAGTGAAAATTTTACATCTCTTAGCGTTCTTCAATGTTTAAGTTCTTGCCTTCATAATAAATATAGTGAAGGTCTTCCTGGTCAAAGGTATTGTTTATAATTTTGTTTACAATTTATCTTTTTTGTTATCTTTTAATTTATTCTTATTTTATTATTTAATTTCTTTTCATTTATATGTTTATTAATAATTAAAATTAATTGTTATAATTATCCTTATTATCATATTCAGATATTATGGAGGAAATGAATATATTGATGAAATTGAATTATTAGCACAAAAACGTGCTTTAGATGCATTTAATTTAAATCCTGAAGAATGGGGTTGTAATGTTCAACCATATTCAGGAAGTCCAGCTAATTTTGCTGTTTATACAGGTGTAGTTGAGCCTCATGGTCGTATAATGGGTTTAGATCTTCCAGATGGAGGACATCTTACACATGGTATTTTATATAAATTCATAAGAATATTATAAATTAAAATTAAAACTATTAAAATTCTTTGGATGAACTTTTCAGGTTTTTTTACTGCAAATAAAAAAGTTTCTGCAACATCATTATTTTTTGAATCAAAACCATACAAAGTTAATATTAATACTGGTTTAATTGATTATGATAAATTAGCTGAAGAAGCAAGATTATTTAAACCTAAAATTATAATAGCAGGAGTATCTTGTTATAGTAGATGTTTAGATTACAAACGATTTAAAGAAATAGCAGAAGAAAATAATGCTTATCTATTTAGTGATATGGCTCATGTAGCAGGGTTAGTTGCTGCTGAATTAATTCCTAGCCCATTTAAATATAGTGATATTGTATCTACTACAACACATAAAACTTTAAGGTATATTGCTAATTTATAATTAATAATATAAGTAAATGATTTTAATTTCTAGTTTTATTTTCAGTCTAATTTTTTGTTATATTTTATTAGATAATATTTAATTTTTTTAAATTTTTAGAGGACCTCGAGCAGGTGTTATCTTCTTTCGCAAAGGAATTAGAAAAATTGGAAAAGATGGTCAAAAAATTATGTATGATTTAGAAGATAAAATTAATCAAGCTGTATTTCCAGGACTACAAGGTGGACCTCACAATCATGCAATTGCAGGCATAGCTACAACAATGAAACAAATCAAATCACCAGAATTTCTTCAATATCAGAAACAAGTTATAGCTAATGCAAAAAGACTATGTACAAAATTACAAGAGTATGGTTATAAAATTAATACAGATGGAACTGATGTTCATATGTTGCTTGTAGATTTACGATCTACAGGTATTACTGGAGCTAAAGCAGAAAAAATTTTGGAAAATATTTCTATTGCTTGCAATAAAAATACAGTACCTGGTGATAAAAGTGCATTGAATTGTAGTGGTATCAGACTTGGTACACCTGCATTAACTACTCGTGGTTTAGTTGAAAAAGATATTGATAAAGTTGTAAACTTTATACACAAAGGTATTTATTTTAAAAGAACATATTAAAATAGAATTTAAAATTTAATGCAATCATATATAAAAAATATTTATATAAATATCTAAATGTTTTTTAGGATTATTACTTTCTAAAGAGGTATCTAATATTTCTGGTCCTAAACTTGTTGACTATAAAAGAGTATTAAATACTGATGCTAATATAAAAGCAAAAGTTGCAGCTTTAAGAGAAGAAGTTGAAACATTTTCTAAGCAATTTCCTATTCCTGGTTTTGAAACATATTAATAATATTATTTCATTTAATATTGTATAGATTTAATTAATTTTTTATATTGCATTTATTTTTTATTAATTTTGTAAAAAAAATGAACAAAGATCATCTTTGTTTTATGAACACTTTTTACTCATAAGGTATACAAACGTATGTATGTAGGAATTTTGTGTGAAATATGTAGTTATATACATATATAATATTTTTACAGATGTAAATTATTTAAAAAATGCTTATTATGAATATATTAAGAAATTAAATACAAGAAAATGTTTAATTACAATTAAAAAATATTAGATTATATGAATTACAATATTGCATTACTTATATAGTATAATAAATTTCTTTTTTTTTTTTACGATTTTTATGATTTTTAAAAACTTTGTACATTTGTTATTGTAACTAAATATATTTTTTGTATATGTAAATTAAATTTTGTAAAATGTAAAATGAAAATTTATTCGCATAAATTATTACTAAAACAAATTAAAAAATTTGAAAATATAATTTCAAGTTTATATAAATAAAAAAATATTAAAATTTTTTTTCTGTGTTATTACACATAAGAAATTTATCATTTATAATTTGTTTATATAATTTTTTGTTTAAAATTCTAAATGTATTACTCTATTAATCATTGAAATATTTGTTATTCATTTTTTACCAATTGTAAGTGAAAATTAATTCATAATTTAATTATATATAAGATATTAATATATTTATGGAACATCTTTGAAGAATTCTATAGATTATATCAAACACAATATTTAATATACTAAAATGACAGATAAGATTTATTTATTGTTATAAGCAATTGAGATTTGCATTAAATGAAGCAAAACAAAAATAATACTGTCTCATTTTATCTAATGTAAATTTAAATTGCTCATAACTTAATAAATAAGCTTCAAATAACATTTTGTGTATTTTTTGTGTTTATTTTGATCTCTAGATCTTCTGAAGCTATCCCACAAATCCATTTATATATAACTTATATATAGTATTTAATCTTATTTTTATATGTCTTTGTTTGTTATGTACTTTTAATCAACAATCGGCCATAATTTATTTATCCATTAAGATTTCATTTGAATTATTATAAATTAACGTGCATTAATAATAATATTTATATCAATCAATATAATGTTATAATTAATTTATCTATATTATTTATATTCAATTATTACTTAAAAACAAATTTATTTCGAATAATAATTATTAGAATTAATATTTCTTGTTTAGTTTAAATGTTTTTTTAGCATTTTTTAGCAAATAATTAAAATATCTTAAAAATTATTTATATAATTAAATATTATTTATATAAACAATGCATTGTATTTATAAAGTATATAAGTAATATTTTTAAAATAAATTTAAAATAATAATAAAATAATAATAAAATAATAATAAAAAGTATTTTTAAATTATAATTGTATATAACACAAGTTTTCTATTAGCATGTTATTTTCATTTACTATTATATTATATATCTGTAATATTTCAATATTTTATATTTGAATTTATTGTTTTATGATAAATTCTTTATATATAAGAATAATATGTCCATATATTATTTGTATAGTATTTGTACGGTATAAATTTTAATAAATTCTTAAATAATATGATATATATATTATATCATTACTAATATAGAAAACAATTATATATCACTTCTGTTAATATATTTGAGAAATTTAATTTATTAACAAAATTTAATTTACTTCTGTTTAAAAGTTTAAAAATAACACACTATGTGTGTTTGTAACAAATTTAAACCATTAAATATTTGTACAATATTTGCTGTGTTGATAAATTATGGAAAAATAAATTGTAATAAATCTCATAATAAAAAGATACTTTGTATACTACATATGTACTACAAGAATATATATAAGTTTGTATATGTTTATAGTTATTACAAATCTATATTCTTGATCATATTTTTTTTTCTATACTTTTCAAATACACAGCAATTGTATTATTTTTATCAGTACAGAAACGTGCTTTATTATAGAATTATGGCTATTTTATTTTCATAATTAAATAGGAATTTTTTTTTGCTAAAATTTTTAAATGATATAAATTATACTAATATAAAGTTTAATAAATAAATATTTTACTTGCTGCTATGATAATTACTTACGTATGATTCACTCCATTTATTTAGTATTTCAGCAACAAGTAATTTCATTAAGCATTCTTTTCTGTAGCTATAAATGTTATGTCACGTTTATTTGTCATATGATTAAATTTATATAAAATAAATCTTCATTTCAGCAGTTATACTCAAATACATGTTTTTTTTAAACATACATTATTATATGCAAATTATTATTAGTACAAGAATTTTATTCAAAGTTCATGATTGCTTTTAAATTTCACAGTAATTTTAATAGGATTCTATATGTATGATTCAAAAGTTTTATCCCAGTTTCAATATATCAAATAATCTTTAAATATAATATTAAAACAGACCGATGAATGAAAAAAAGACACATATGAGTTACTATTTTTCATGAAAGTTTTGTCTCTATGCAGGTTCATTTTTTGATGAATCCTAACTTATAACTTTGAAAAATTCCTCTAGAAATGCATCCCACATATTTTTATTTTAAATAAATTTATCTGTACAAATCATTTAAAAAAATTAATTTCAATATATTCAAAGATCTAAAAAGATCAACATAATGTGTATATTGAAAATATATGGGACACTACTAT